TTCTAGTTCTACGTTCCCAACGTCTGCCTTCGATGTCTCTTCTTCTTTTTGGGCCCATGCGTCCACCTCCTCCTTAAACACTTGGTCAAAATCTTCATTCTCCGAAGGCACTCCAAGTCTCTTGTAGTGTCCTGCTAGAACTTCCCTTTTTCCCTTCCCACTGCTGACTAGTCCACCGTTCACACCTCGCAATGTTGCTACCCCTGTATCCCCCCCTTGCGCGGTCTTTTTTACCATCCCACTAATCCCTTCCCACATCTGCTTGACGTTCCCCTCCAGGCCTCCGTTAGCCTTCTGCACTACCTCGTCCCAAATGCTCTTTTTCTTCTTTTTCACTAGTCCCTTCACCTGTTTCCTCTTGGCCCTGTACTTTTCCCAACTCTCCTCAGACCCCTCACCCAGGTACTGCTTGAAGACTTCTCTACGTTCCCCTATTTCTTCTTTCAGCTCGTCATCCCACCACTTAACCGATACCCCACATCGTACCACCTTTTTTCCCACTACTCTCTCTGCCGTTGTGTTCACTATGGACTCCCATCCTTCAATCACCCTGTCCCCTGCTGCTTGTACGTCTACCTTTCCGTCTTCGACGCTTCTCAGCAGTTTCCTGAAGGGTTCTACACTACCAGCCAATCCCTTCTGGAATTCATTGCGTGTCCCCTCGTCTCCCAAACGCTCTACTTTCCACCGGAACACTCTCCTCTTTTTCTTACTCTCCGTCTTTCTAGATCGGTCGATGTTTGCCCATATGGGGAAATGGTCGGTCGAGCCTATATCTATCGCACTTACGTGCAGCTCCGGGACCTGTGTGCTCCCCCTATCTACCAGGATGTAGTCGAGGATCGAGTATTCATTGCAAACTGCCCTCTGCCTGGTGAACTCTGGCTTATCGCTTTCCCTCCTACCGTTCAACACCATCAGCTCGTTGCTTCCCAAGAATTCAAGCATCCTCACTCCGTTGTCATTCACTTTGTCTTCTCCGTGCTGCCCGATCGCCTGTCCTCTACTGGAAGCTTTCCCTACTCTGGAGTTGAAATCGCCCACCATGACAACTTCTCCCTTCCTACTGAACCTCTGGACATCTTCCCCAATTTGTCCGAAGTTCTCCTGCGCCTTGCTTGCGACTTTCTTCGACGACGGTGGGACGTATACGTTCCCTAGAAACAAATCTTTCTCCCCCCGCTCCCCAGGTATCTTAAGCCATAGGCTTTCCTCGAACTCCGTTTTCACCACTACTTCCACCACGTCAAACAAGTGTTCCTTGACCAGGAATCCGACTCCCCCCTCCCCCCTTTTCTTCGGGTCTAAGGGGGGGGGAGGCTCAAAACAAGAGCATGAAAACGAAGAAACTTTCCTTTTCGATGCCGTTCAACTAAACCGTGGAGATCCCGTTCATGAAGGATACCATCTGCCCTACATCGTCTCAAGGACGATTCCTTCCAACATTGGCGTCGACGAAGCGATGTCTGATTTTGGTTGAAGAGACAGCCAGGGTTCAAAATATGGACAACAAACAAAACGGGGGGAAGGGGCACCGTGCTTCCCCCCTGCACCCTGCCCCCCCCCCAGCCTAAGGAAGTCCCTGCGAAAAACCGCACCCAGGCAGCAAACACCAGTCTACACGTTCGACCTGCTGTCGTCGCACGCAAAACACGCAACACATACGTACCTCGCCGTATATTTCCCCTAGGATCGGCATGATCTCTTCCTTGTTCTCGTCCATCCTGCTGAGCCACGCCTCTGACGTCCTGGCGTAGTGGGTCCCGTTGACTCGCCAGTGCCCCTCTATCCTAAGGTCTTCCTGTGTTGTGCGAGCGATGACATCGCAAGGGATGAATGTAAATGTTTGGTTGCGTGCTCCACAGCTCGACGGCGCCTTTCTTCCTACACACAGAGAGAGAGAGAGAGAGAGAGAGAGAGAGACGCGGTGACTGAGGGCCGCAAAGTGTCAAGGCAAGAGGGCAACCAACAATACAACCGGCGGTGGACCCCCGAGGCGAAACGGACAGGCGTGACCATCGTGGTAAACATATTTTCAACTGTGCTCCAATCCGGCTTTGTAGGATGCGAGGTCAATGGTCTAACGACTAGGGCATGCGTTTACATGAGTACCCCCCCCCCCCCCCCGCGCCCCTTGGCCCCCTCCCCTTGCCTGAAAATGAAACAAGAGGGCCTCCCAAGGCATCCTTTCCCCCCAAAAAAAATACTGCGCCCTCCCCCCCTCCTCCTGGAAGAAGTGGTACGGGTGGTCCTTGTGCTTCAAGATGTGCACTGGCACCAACAAAAGACACGGTGTGGGGGGCGGCAGAAATAAGAATAAAACGAAACGACCAAAAGATTGAAGCGTGAACGAGTGCAACCAAAGAGCCTGCAAGTCTAACGGAGCGTGCCGATACACAAAGAGGGGTAGACGCACGCGTACACGACTCGGGGGAGACGTGCATGGTTGGTGAGGGGGATATATATGCGCATGGTCGGATAGCCTCACTTGTTGAATTTTACACCAATCCATCTCCTGTCGCAGCAGGCCCGTCAGCGACACGCTCCCTCCCTTTTTTCACGATTATTTTCTATGTTTTGCATATATTTGAATAATTTGCGATAAACAAGCGTTACTTTCTATATTGTGTAATTGACCTTAGTCACTGCTGCTTTCCTCCCTAGTATGATACCCTCATCCTTATCCCTCCGCGAGAGAGCAAGCACATAGCGTCCTGTTCAACCTCTCAAGCGGGGCCCCGCCGTCGACCATGGCGAAAAGCTATTGTAGTAGCCCCAACAGCACTGGTGTGGCCAACAAACAGCTCACCGAAGAGCTTCCCGCCGGGAGAGAGCCAGCCGCTGATCTTCGCGATGAGGAGCTTGTAGTTCTTCATGTGCTCAAACATCTCTATGCTCATCACGCGGTCGAAGGACCCCTTGTCCTCCTCTCCCAGGTCGAACTCATTGATGTCGCCCGTGATCACGCGGACGTTGCCGAACCCTCGCTCCTGTGGTGATGATAGTGTTGGCGGTGGTGGTGATGGTGGTCGTCGTCGTCGTCGTGGGTGCGATGGTGGTGGTGGCCATGGTGACGGCATCGGAGGAGGTGAGAATCGTGAGGGAAACGAAGCCGAAACCCATGTTTCAAAGAACGATATCGTCGACGCCAGAAAAACTACTTCCTATGTACGGCGTGCCAAAAAATGTTCCTCCATGAGACTTACATAGCCATTTTGCATCTGCAGCAGAAAATGATAAACACAAACGAGGGCACCAGGCCCAAGAATTCGTGCTACATCATCGGCACACCCAGAGGGACCAAACCAACATGGATGAGCAGCACCACTCCCCGCCCTCACCCTGCACTGTCCGTCGATGTACGTCTTCTGCGACGCTGAGTTGGAGATGGACGTGATGGACGCGTTGGGGTACTTCTCCGCCAGGAAGAGCGTCAGCGAGCCCCACCCGCAGCCGAGGTCAACGATCTGAGCGACGTGACAACGACCAATGGCGCAGCAGGATCACAGCGGTGGAGTCGTGGTTTATGAGAACCAATCACGATGTCACCGGTACAAGCTTCTTGTTGCCATCGGGTGGACATTCGTGCGGACGCAATCGTGAAAAAAACTACGGTTGCTGTCGGGAATTTCGCAACAAACTTCCCCGTATAACGGTGTTTCGATTTTAGCGGCGAAAGACGCGAGGGGAGCGATATGACGAATAGACATCGGTACACGAGTAGGTGTTTTCGCTATTCAGAAGAGATGGGAACTAACGTCTCTTTTGGCACTCACAGGGTAGGGTCGCCCCCACACAGACGAACATACCGCGGATCGGGGAGAGCAAAAAAAAATCAAGTGTGTATCACCAAAAAAAAAAAAAGGCAAGCCCAACAGAAAAAATAACGGTCGTCGCAGCGCGTGGGGCCAAAAATCTTAACAATCTCGTCGCCCCCTAGCCCCGGCTCATCCCAGCATGCACTCCGCCTCGAAAATTCCTCCGCAAGGGACGCTCTACAACCAATAGTGTCGCGCCCGCAGCCAACAAGCAGCGACAAGCCAAGCCGATGACGACATCTCCGAACCCTGCCGACACCGTCCCGCAGTGGAACACTTCGAGGAAAAAATACAAGCAAATAGCGAAATGTTGCTTTACGACAGACAAAAAACGCCCAACCCCCTCCACACCTTCATGCCGTCCTCGAGCTTCGCCCTGTCGCAGTACATCTCGAGCATGGCCACTTCGGATTCTTCGAAGGTGCTGTCGCTCTTGGGCCAGAAGCCCGAGGAGTACTTGAGTCGCGGCCCGAGCGCGAGGTGGTAGAAGGCCGCGTTCACTTCGTAGTGCTGTTCGTTTGCCGCGTCTGTATTGTTTCGTTTCGGGGGAAGGTTGGGGGTTGGGCACCTGCAGACAGTGTTGTTGCTTATGCTGTAGAAGCAGAAATGGTACAGTAGTCGTAGTTGTATTTAGTAGTAGTAGTTGCTGTTGTTCCAGTAGTAGTTGTCGCTTTCTTAAGGGGATCACTAGTTTCTGTTTCGTGAAAAAAGGTTCGTGAAAAACGATTCTTGAAAACGACGAAGGGTCTTCTGCTGCTGCCGTAGCTTTAGTTGGGACTGCGCCGTTTTGCATTGTCTGACAGTGTTATCGTACATACATGCAACGGGGAGCAGGCTTGCGCGCGCGGGGGCAGAACGGGCTTCAGGCCACGTCACGGTAGCCAGCTCCAACAGACTACACATGCTGCGGCGGTCGTCAAAAGGTGCTGCGATCGAGAAAACCTGGTGGGTGGGTCGAGCGAGTAGACGGGACACGTGCCTGATTCCACGCGCCCGCCAACAAATCAAGCACAAAAACAGAAAAACGCTTCCAAAGATTTTTGCCAAAACGAACGGGGACGGGAAACAAGACCGCTGTCCCGTGAGAGAGCCACAGCCGGCACTGGGCGGAGCAGCAGGGATGGCCTACCGCTTCGTTTCAACCTAATTTCCCAAGGCTTTCGAGCTAAGGGCGGCACCGCGCTGCTGTTCTCTGGTAAAAAAACTACCGCACGGTGCACTAGAGCGAGTCGCTGTCTTCGTGGCGGATGCTGCTGCCCGCCCAGACTCCACACTGACCTTGCTGAGTCGCGATCGGCATCTTCTTGAGCTCTTCAATGAGAGCCTCCTTGCGAGCTAGCTAGAGCGCCGAGAGGGGCGAGAGGTGTGGGAGGGGTGGGGGCAGAAAAGTAAGCAGGGCAATCACCAGCGAGAAAGGAAGAGAGAGGCACAGAGCGGGGTGTGTATACACAACACATATATATGGACCGCATGGATTCCGCACGACCTGGGCGCCAAACAATTGAATGAGCACTTGAATTCCACGCGCTTGAAGGAAGTACCAATTGCAGAGTACTCCCTTGCTTTCGAGACGCCTATTCCTCGCATGCAAGACCACTGATGATGGTGCCAATGCCTGTACCGCTTGAAACGGTAGCATACGGCACCTGTGGCATCGACATGCCCGAATTGATCACACACGTCCCCCACCACGTAACGAAACCACCGAAGGAGTCCGTGTTCAACGTTCCACACCGTCTACTGGCTGATAGCACCCGTGTGTCATGGCTGTTTCCCCAATTGAATTGAATTTATTTTTCTCGACGAGAGGCGAGCCGTAAGAAGACTTGTTGCCCTGGTGTCGGGATGGTCACGCGCGATTACTGCCAAGAGGTAAAATTGCTTGACAGTTCGTGAGCTAAGAGAAAATCACAGCAGTCATTCACTTCGCGCTGCGAAAGCCATATTTCTTTGCCTTCTAGTCATCAGGCCTGTCCCCAACCCTCAACGTTTAATTGTATATTGTTGCGTTTGTTTTTCGGTATGTCTTAGGACGGCTTCACGAACGTTCGTGATGTTGTAGAAGTATATTCACACCAGCCATACAAAGGTCTTCTCTCGTCTGCATAAAAATGTCCTCGGAAAATCCCAAAGGCAAACAAAAAGGGAGTGTCTCTTTCTCTCTCTGCGTAGAGTCCGTCAACATCATTCCACTACAATACAAATAACCAAGCAAGGAGGGGAACCCTCAGTTTCTCCAGCTACAAATACTAGCCCAAAATATAGGGCTCATGGACGTGTCCCCTACGGTCTGCTTCCTCCGGAGGTTCTTGACCAAGGTTAACGGGAAGTTGTTCGTGATATTTTTTTTCGGAAGTAAGATTCGACGAACGACTACATTTAAAGCCAGGCGGGATAGAAAGGAAAGAGCGAAGGCTGAAACGAAGCAAAGGTGACAAAAAAACGCAGCCAACCTGGAAAAGAAGAAGAAATCAGTGGAGGCTGCAACGCAGGCATGGGTAACCAGAATTTTCATATACATGTCTCTGTTGCAGCCTCCGCTGTTTTCTTCTTCTCGTCCATTTTCGCTGCGCTTCTTGGCGCCTTTGCTTCATTCAGCCTTCGCTCTTTCCCAAAGAGCACGGTCAGGGAAGTTTCCCCATGTCCATGCCTCCATCGCACCCTCCGCTGTTTTCCTCTTCTTTGCCCGTAACGCCGCGTGTGTACTTCATTCAGCCCTCGCTCTCCTTTCTACCCCGCCTGGCCTTGAGTGCTGTTGATCCACCGAACACCGAATCATATTTCCGGAAAATTTATCACGAGCAACTTCTCGGTACAGTTAACCTTCGTCAAGAACCTCCCGCAGAGGCAGGCCGTAGGGCGCACGTCCATGAGTCTTATCAATAGGACGAGTACAGCTGACAAAAATGCGTTATTTCTCTTTGTCGTTTCTTGCCACAAAACCTCCTTGGCTTTCTTCTTTGGGGGGCATTGTAGGGGGAAGGTACAAGCTCGACGCGGAAGCCAAACTAGCGCGCATGTCGGCGGCAACGTCAATCCTCTTCATGTTTTCTGGCGTACTTCCTTGTTCGCGCCACGCTTGCCCCCCTGTGCGACTCCCTCTTCAGTCGTAGGTCAGGCCACCGTGAAAAACGCCAGGTCACGGGGTCAACCCTGCTTGACCCGGCTTGAACCCTGCTTGACCCCGTGTGAAAATCCATGGGTCATCGACAGCAGTTCACCACGGGCCACCTGCCCGCTGGGTTCGGGGTGTAAATTCTACGTATGCGCACCAGTCTCCTGCCGGAAATCCTGCCCCAATGAAAGCGCGGGGTCTTTCGATAGCGATGGAGCGCTGAGAGGGCTTGCCGTAGGTGACAGGACGTAAGATATCACACTCCCTTCCACCAGTTTTCACAGCTCCAATACTCCAAGACGAAGAGTATTTATGGCCCAGACGATACGTGTTCGGACAACTTCTCCAAAGACAAATCCGACGCCGCTATCGGCACCGGCACTGCTGTTTTTTCTGTGGACAAATCGAGCTTTGAAAATCAGTTCAGGATGTGTAGTATCATACGTTATGGTACAGCACGCATCTACTGCAGATATAGTCTAGTCTATCTACTCCTCATGTGATGTTCAAATGCATGTCAACTGCTGTTATCCTCATTTTTTTTGACAAAACGAAGCCTACTGCACTGCGATGCACTGCTGCGCAAGGTGCACTGCTGTTTTCGGTCGGTGTCGGGAAGGTCACGACTGTGCCAACAACCCGCGTGGTAGCATACATACACACAGACACAAACCTGTTCGACTGAGGTGCCCCGAGCGATATCCTGGAGTCGGTGGCCGCATTGTCTCCGAACGCCTGGGGCACCGACAGGAGGCGCAATGTTGGTACGTCCAACGATTTCTGTGAAGACACTTTCAGTGTTGGTCGCTAAGGTCCTACAGCAGTAGATAGTTCGCAAATCAGTGGCATTGATTTGAAGGATGACACAGCAGCAGCAGCAGCAGCACGGGGTCCCAAACAGCTTATATGACGACTCATGAAACACTAAACAGCGGAGCTTGTCGCTCACCGAATCGAACCACAAAATCAGGCACCACGTTCTTCTCAACGGCTGGCATAACATACGGAGACACTGCCGTGCTGAGTGCATTTATCAGGCCCGCCATGTTGCCGAAGCTGCTGGTGCGCTAAGCTCTCCCACGCAGTGACAAGCCCTGCCTGCCTGCCTGCCTGCCTGATCATCAAACCTGCTGGGAGGGGGGGAGTGACGAAGCTCCCGAGATCCGCGGAGCCCCCAGGTGCGGTGTTGCCACTGCCGACCTGTACCATCATCATCTGTCATCACTCTCACTTCACCGCATTCCGCTGAACAACAACGATGAAGAGAGCTCGCGACCAGAGTAGCACGATTGTAGACACGGGGAATCATCACGCCGTCGTGGGCCCTGCCCGCGCCGCGGCCTCTCCCGCCGTCGTCCCCGACGGCGGCGCGCGCGTTTCGGAGACGACAACATCAAAGCCGACCCTCCTCCCCCCCCCCCCCCCGATACAGCCCTTCTCTGACGACTCCGACGACGCACGTCCCGCCGGCGATGCGTTGTCATCGTCGTCGTCGTCTTCCTCATCCTCAGCCGGTGGCTCCGCCGCCGCCGAAGAGGGTAGAAGGAAGAGAGCGAAGAGGGAGCCACAGCAGGAGCTGGAAGGGTGGAGAGCTGCGGCCAACGCTATTTTGTCGGCGGGAGTAAAGGAGGATGGGGCGGGTAGTAGAAGTAGTAAGGGAGAGAGCAGCGGCAGCTCGAGGAAGAGCTTCGCCGTGGTGTGCTCGAGTAACGTGAACAGGAGTATCATGGCAGAGATCTTGCTCAAGGAGCACGACATACGGGCTCAATCGTACGGGACGGGCAGGTACGTCTCTTGTGTTGTGTTCGTGTTTTCTCCTTTTCGCCCGCGCCAACGAAACCCCCGACACGTAGCCCGAAATGTTATTTTTCGAACAATTTGCGTAACGTGGCAACCTTGATGACATGTCAAAGGCACAGGCAACCGAGTCGCTGTTCTCCTTGCCCTAAATACGTACGCTCGGATGGAACGGGAAACATTGATTTCTGGTAGCGGACTGCTGTGATTTCAATTTTTAAGCGATTCCCTTCCTCCTTCAACGATTTTAGCTTGCACGATTTTTAAGCGATTCCCTCCTTGAACGATTCCACACACGACTCAACGATAAAAGCCCCGTTGGACGAAGACAAACAGCAGTCGGAGGGAAAGTATCAAGTGGAAAATAGACACCCACACACCCACGCGCATCACAACAGCAACCCCCCGTCAAACGCCTCATCAACACAGGGTCGATGTGTGCAGAGAGTTAAAATCTATTTTGTGTTTCATCCGGAGTATTTTTCGAATGTCAAGTCTTTTCTTTAGACCGTTTCCGTAATTTTTCTGGACGCTTCGGCTTGGCTGGCGTAGTACCGCAAATTCGTTTTGTTCTCCACCTCCGTTCTATGGCAAGTTCCATCCTTTGTTATCTTTGCGGGCAGGACTTTATCGACATGTTAACATAGCAAGGACTTGTATAAATTTAACGAGCAAGATGGAATGAAAATGTCATCGAATTTTGATTTTTTTTGTTCAAGCACGAATTGAATCGGAGCAAGTTTGCCTCCTGCAGTATACCGATCCAAGCAGCGATGAATCGCTCCGCGCGTTTCCCGCAATCTCAACACGTGGTAAAGCAACGCTGTCAGTAGTGTTGAGTTATATGGGTTAAATTTCCTGCGTAGTGGCGTGGCGTGTTCAGAGCTTTGCGTTGTGTTTTCTCTGTCAACAAGAATGCTGTTGAGAATTGGAGCGATGCATATATATCGATGCAACTATTCGCTACGCAGGGGCACAGGGGTTGGGTATGGACAATATAGACACCCATGTTGCAAGCCCCCACAATTTTTTTAATTTTTTTTTCAAGGCATCGATCACGCGGAGCCCCCACAGCGGCCGAATTCCTATGGGCCGTTATTCGTCTATACCTCCGGCTGTAGTGGTGATCCAAAATGTGGCCAATCCTCTTTCTTTTGGGCATGTCTCTAACAATACTCTACAGCGTGGGGCCATCAAAATTTAATATTTGAACTGGATCGTTTGTTGAAGGTGTACAAAATACAGAGCGTTGAAGATCAATTGTCGGGGGATCATGCCGAGAATTTCAAACAAAGTTGGAGGTAGACGCACGGGGTGTGTTTGGTCGATACAGTATAGGCGACAGAGTGCTTCACTGGGACGACCCTGGTAGTGGCGATCCAAAATTGCACAATGCTTCCTATGCCTATGTAATCCACTTAAGTCTCGAGCGAGTTCGTCAACGCCTTCGCAGGTGTATAGCAGCGGGAAGCTTGTGCTCACAGCTGCCAAACGGGCTTGAAGCAGCAGCTCTTTCGTTTTTCATCGCGCGGAATTTGCCGGGTTTAGAGCGAAACCAGGGCAAACCAAATGTCTGCGCGTGTATAACATGACATGCATGAGGTATCCTGCTGATTGCATATCACGTAGCCATCGTGTGGGGAGCACCAGCGGTGACAAAGGTGTGCACCAGATGGTGTCACAGGGCAACACCTCATGGGGGCTCACGCGGGGTACCATCGATTTTCTCGGAGCCCCTTTTGTCATATCTCGTTTGCTTTGCTTTTTGTGTAAAACTGCAACCCGGGTTTAGATTACTTCAGGAGGACACTTACGGAGGTTAAGTGTTCATTTTTTTCACCTGCAACGTAAACCGAGACGAATAGCCCAACCCGTAAATGAGAGGTTTTACCGATCGCTCGAGCAATGCCTCGTATGATCTGGGAGGAGAGCCTTCGACCCCAACATTGATGTGGCATTGACTTGAAACTTCTCTTCAGCATTGATCCAGCTGGGGGTTGTTTGCCTTGCCAAATATTGCCCCAATTGCGCGTTCAACGAATATCAAGCAGCGCGCATACCTCCTCCCTGAGCCCGACAATTCCAGGGCGACGGATCCTGCCCTCATTTTCCGTGATTACTTCAGTCGTTTTTTTTAGTTCGGTGCCCACTGCTGTGTCTGTCTCCTGGAGAGCAAGAACGTGACCTTATTTTGACAGCTTCAAGTGAAGAGCAGAGAGACTCAAATGGATTTTTTCGGTCCTCGGTGGCTCAGCCCAAAAAACCTGAACCTCATTGTCCCACAGAAAACGTTCGTGGCAAATATCTCGAGTCTTGATCGATGAATAATGAGGCCCCATGGCGGCTCTCAAATCGGGAAGGAACAACCCACTCCGGTCGCACAGCATCCTGCCTGCTCTGTAGAGTTATCCGATCTTCGGCCAGGCTCTTGCGACGGTGAAGAGCCACGTTGAAAGCTCGTCCTCACCTAGTTGTACCTTGTGGGTCCCCGCTCACGGCTCAGTTAGCTGGGGCACTTCGAAAGCATGAGCAACCTACAGTACGAGAAGGACGGAATGACCAGACGACGGAGGCTTTGGCTTTTTTGTTTCGCTTTTCCTTTCGTAGTCATCGTGCCCCGAAGAACTGAGCTCCACATGCCAGGCAGTTCGTCCCGGACCTTTGTCAGAAGCCACACGCCAGCAACGTGCTTATGGTTCTTTGTGATCCGATTGGAGTGGAGCACAAGCGGCCTGTGCGGTTGCCTTGAGTAGAGTTCTTTGGCATGGTTCGGGCACCGCAGTGGTGGCTGCTGCAGGATTAGCATGTTGCTACGAGACTGGCGAGGTGCTAAGAAAAGATGGCTGGAGATGTCCACCCGAAAGCACGGCGCTAACATTAGCACCCGCGATTATCGACTGTGCGCGGTTTTGTCCGAATGTTCAACGTGGTTGCGGGAGGCGAATTATTGCTACAATTGGTCAATCTTTAGTTCATGTGTGTTCTAGTGCCGCATGAGAGCACCGATTTCAAAATTCCATTAGAGTGGTGTCGCCCCTACGTCGATGTTTGTTAAGTTGTAGTATAAAGCAGGCAATTATCTCGGAATTCGGCCTCGGTTTAAGTTATTGACTCCAAGCAACATATTTTGTTGACAGCGCCTCGAGATTTGACTCTGCAACCCTCGCCAACGCCAATCAGAGAGGATGACAGGCGTATTTTGCTATACAAATCCTGTCGTGTCGTCGATTTTGTTCAGATGTGCGCATTGGCACTCCCTGTACATTGGCCGTCCCGCGTGGCAGGTCCAGGTTGCCTTTGATGATGTCGTGGCGTTTTCTGAGTTCTGTATCCTGTCGTAGGCAGATAGCCAGTCTTGCTCGAAAGGTTGCTTGACGAAATAAACCGTTTTAACCACCAAGGTGAACACAGCAATGTGGATACACTTCACTGTGCCACTTTTAGTACAGGCTTGTCCGGAGAATTCATGCCCTCGACTGCGGGCGGTCTTTGATGAAGACAGAAGGGAGGGGGCGGGCAGTGATGGTACTGTAGAGGGGTTGTTTTCACGAAGCTTGTTTGTCCCCACTTTTTGGATTCCTTCATTTGCATAGTTGTATTGTTTTGTTTTTGCCACAAGGATACAGAACTTTATCCGTCCCTTCGTCGAAACCTTTCCTGTTTTCTGCGCTGTTATGTTTTGCTCGGCATCAAAAGTTGTGCAGCAGTTCACTGAATCCGATAGGCCCGCCTTAAAGTAAAACAACACGCTTTCTGACCATTTTGTCTGCATAATTCCCCCCGAACGGCGTTTGCTGGTTTGTGGCTCCTGCTCACCTCCCCGCCGTAATTTTTTTACCATCTTGTTGCCCCCCCGTCCGTCAGTTGCCGCGCTGTTTTTGCTCTCCTCTAATCGCACCATCCCCCGCTGCCCGAAAATCGATTAATCATCGCGTGGAATCTTGTTCGTAGAGAGGTGAGGCTTCCTGGCAAGGACTCCAAGAGCCCGCAGTCGTTCCCGTTCGGGACTCCGTACGTCGAGATTCGCGACTTTCTCGCTCGGCAAAACGAGGCGCTGTTCCGTCGCAACAGCGTCCTCGGCCTGCTCGAGAGAAACGCTACGACAAAGCGCGCCCCGGAGAGGTGGCAATCCCTCGACGGCGAACATGTCGCTTCGTTCGATGTGGTGGTTTGCTTCGAGAGCCGAGTCTTCGATCTGGTCGTTGAAGGTATACTTACTTTTTTGTGTTCGTTAGGGGTCAATAGCCGTTGTTGCGGTGGTAGATGTCATTGGAGCTCCTGCCGCTGGTCCTGGTGCGGCTCCCGTTGTAGGCGTATGTTCGGTCTTGAGTGGAGCGGTTTTGGACGAGGCGGACAGAACGTCGCGGGAAGCGCGAGGATAAGGAATTTTTCGGTAGCACTCGGTGTTTGTGAGCTGGCATATGTGACGCTGGGCGTCGGGGTTGAGATGGATTTGTGGAGGCAGCCCCACATGCATGATATTTTACGAAAGATCCTCCAGCGCGGCCCTTGGCCGTCGCTGGTACCTCTACCATGTGATGGTGCGAGCATCGACAGCCCTTTGAACATATGCACAGGTACGGAAGTGGCCTGTCGGTGCCGGGCGTGCAGATGCGTTCGTACAGAAAAGGTCCATGGCTGCTGCATGAGTATATGACGTCTTCCCACAAGTCTGTTCTCTGGTGTTCCGAAAGGCACGTCGACTGATGCGGCGCTTTTGCGCATGAAATGTGCGTACCGTATTCACACAGCATTTCGACGCTGACGCCAGTGGTAGCATCAAAAGTCGCGACGTACACTCCTATCCATGATTTACGTGGCATTCGGTCAGCCCCGTACCAGCGAAGGGATGTTAGCTGTGACACGCAGCCTCCGAAATAGCCCAAACGGGTTGTGAAGATGGGATACAACGGTATCCAGGGAGTGTTTTTGAGCGTGTCGGGGGGCCTGAAGACTCAAAAGACTTGACTTGAGTACGCCATCCTTGCGCGATCCAGCAATTTGGAAACGCTTTCTTGCCGGAGCGAGTATGATGGAGCGTGAGCAACCGTTTGTCCAATCAACCGAAATCGGCCTTTAAGCACAGTCTCTTCCTGCTCTTGGAACACATCGCTCTGGCGGGGGCAATTGGATCGGAAGTGGACGTCGATGTCAGGCGGAAGCTTGCCGGTGTTTTATTTCGCGCTGAACGAACGTGAATCACTCTACATTTATTTGTGTCCCATATCGGGTTCGTGTGTAGGTCCAGGGACATTACCCCCCAACGACTATCCTCTACCCGTGTCCGTTGCTCGATGCGTACGGGGCGAGCTGTTCTATTGAGTCGGAAGTTTGTGTTTATTTGGACTGGCGTGACCTTCACAATTTACCAGTGTGACGGTCTTGAGGGTGGCAGACCCTTCAGGTACTCATGACTAGCCCCGATATTTAACGGCCAAGGACTAACCAACAGCCGACCATCTTTTTCCTTGTCCACGTTCTGCACGCTTCAGGTCGTGGATAGAGGTGTCTCGCCGCTACAATGATGGATAGAAGTATCGTTTCGTGCAGTAGAGAGGAAAAGAGCGGGGCGGTTTCAATATGGTCATTTGTCGGTTCCACAGTGGTGGCCGTGCTGTTGTTTTGCCGAAGTAACAGAGCGCTTCCGGTACACTGGTTATTTTCTGGCCCCAATCGTACCTGGTCCCCACCGGCGACCGATCGGAGCCATAGCTTAGTCATGTGTGTCACGTACACGTTTGCAGTCCGTGGGTTTCTGACAAAGTTGGCAGGATGCCCGCGGCTTCACTTGGGATATCCCGGTATAAACCGCGCCCATGCCGCCAGTTCGAGCTACCGTCACCTTCTTGCCCTTGTCCTTTGACTGTGGTTTGTGTCCCATGAAAACCCTCAAAATATATTTAGCCACGACACCCCTCACAAGGCTTGACGCTTGGAAGCAGGGTAGATTTTAGCGCCGGGTGGGTGATAAGAGGGACGAAACAAACGATAATGCCAAAGAGGGTGGGCATATCAAAAATACATTTAACAGCTTGACATCACTGATGGATCGGTTGTCTGTGCGGAGATCTTCTTGCCTTGTTGCGCTGTTTTATATGTTCCCGAAACACTTGTTGTTGACTGCCAGTTTTGGTCGTTGAAGGTTTCGTTAACAATGATGTGGTTTTGTATTTCCATCGTGTTTGGTGTCAGAGCGTTTGTCAGCCGTTGACCCTTTTAGGAACAAGGTATACCTACCATATCTTCGAATCCTGTTACGTCTTGCTGGGTAAAGCCGTAGCCAACGATTGCTCGATTCGCATCAGAGCACGACTTCTTGCCCACCACTCCACGTTATCTTCTTCTTGACAAGCTTGAAACCAACTTCCTCATTCGTTTCTTCATCGGTTTCTTCGTGCTTCGCTATCAGACAATGCATTTGCGCTGTTTCGCATCATTTTTGCCCCAAATTGTTGTCGGCTGACCACGAAGAAACTCGTTATGCCTTTTTCTCTCCCGCTTGCTGGCATGGTCTCGTCCGGGGTACCATTTGGTTGCCGGTGCACCGCCCCCTGTCTTTTGTTCCACACAGACCTCCAGCAGAGAGATCCAGACACTTTCAAGCCGCTCCACGTGGTGTCCATGACCATCCGAGACTCAGCGGATGACTCCGCTGCGGCAGCCGGAGACGTCCTTGATTTGTGCAAAATGGTAAATGAACGGGCCAAGTGGCGGTGGTGGTTGGTTGCGTGGTTATTTTTCGTTCGCGTCTGTCTTCAGAAAGCCACTCGGGTTGGGGAGAGCTCCTTGATGGGAGGCCCCAAGCTGCAGAACGAAGCTGCTCAAGTGGGCGCCGTAGGGTCCGTGTACTTGAACGTGGTATGGGTAGCCCAAAAGTCGTTGTCAAAGGAAGGGTTGGAACACGTCGACAACCCAACAATGTCACGGGTTGTTCCGCAAGGCGTAGTGGGAGACGACGTTTTGGTCGAGCTCTACCGACCGTCGGATATTGTTCAGAATGCCCTTGGCGAATTTTGAAGGTGGTATTCGCTTACGGCAGGTTGTCACCAACCCTCAATAATGTCCGATTGCTGGTCTTTTTCAGCGCTGCACACCGCGCACCGGACCCTGCCCGCATACCGGAGTCTAGATTTCGCTCGGCACACCCGACAGCTGCTGCTGTCTGTGCTCGCTAGTGATATGGGAACTTGTTCTTGAAATGACCTGTCATGTCCATGACCGTGGCCGCAGAGCCCCGTAGTCCGTTGGGCACATTCCTTCCCTGACCTGTTTTATCTCGAGTCAAAATTGAGCTACAGCGTGCAATCCAGGTCGAACGCATCATCAAAGCACGTTCTTCTGGGATTGCGGAATCTGAGCACTCCTCCTATCCATAGTGTACTTCACCACCTCGTGTGTTGCCTCTCAGCACGTACGCGTAGGATTCCGGGTCCCCAAACCCACCCGTTTTCGTAGCGGCCACCTTCCTTTTCCTTGTCGAAGGTCATCTCCGGCCCCCCTGGCACATTCACGCAGTTGCAGCTCTTGTTGACTCCGATGGCAAGTTATCAACGCTCAAAGCAAGTGCAGAGAGGTTTGTCGACGCTTTCCCGAAGGACGCTCGCCGGGCCGAAGACGGAAAGCAATCTCGTGCATGTCCCGTCCATGTAGGAAAAAAACTTCCAAAGTACACGACCTCTTCCGCCCTCTCACCTCTCACTCCCTCTCTTTCGTCCAGTTCGATAGACAATCGCTCCCACCTCATCATGCTACCACGGACTTACCGAGCACCAACAACGGATTTAACTTTTTTTTCCAGCGGCCCATCACCCCTTCCTCCTTCGTTATCTTTGGTCTTCTTGATTATTTTCTAATACTACCAAAACTCCGCCTCTCTCTTCTCTGTTGTTGTGTTCCCTCTGCGCTTGTCGCTCCTCCCTGCCGTCCTTGGTTGGATGCTACCCTCCCAAACGTTTGCCTTCGGCACGCTACGATCGTCGTGCGTACCCTGCTTCTGGTGCCGCTGCCGGATGCAACGTCGCCGTACGGGATGTTTCCCGCTCAAACAACGAATTCCATGTTTGTTGTTTATTTGGATATCATTCATTGACTTGGGCTTCGGACCGAACCACAGCTGGAAGATTGCGATGACCTGGACAGCGACGCTGCGAAGCTCCTCAATGACTTCAGAATTCGGAGCAAGAGAACGGTGTTACACCAAGTGTGCCATATTTAGTGGCCGGTGGTCCGTCGCATGTTGCGGGGACTGTACGTGAGAACTGACGACCCGTTGTTGAAGCATGACGGTCGAACATGTGCCCATTCATCGTGTAAGTAAAATTGGGCCCCACAACATCCACCCACCCTTATGCATGCTTCGTGCATTCACCGAAGCTTGGTCCACCTCGTTTCTGCAAACTTCACCGCGTGGCAACGGCGTGCAGCTTTCGTGACGCTTGAGAAGTGTGGTTGGAACAAGGGTATGTGAAAAATTGTCATCCCCACACCCATGTAGGTACCCACTTTCTTATGTGGAGTTTTTTTTTCGAGGGGTACGAAGTGACCACCCCCCCCCCCCCAAACGTCATACTACATCGAAGTAAAACCATCCCATACCAATTTTCCTGCTTAGTAAATTTACCAGGAATATTTTAATCACCGTGTCCTGGAGGGGGGTTACTATCATCTGCGTGCCCCCTAGCCAATGTGCCCTCGTGCGCGCTCGCCTCGCCTGTACGCTGTATGGCGTGCGACACCTAGACGAACAGAGGGAGAGCATGATCAGCGCACCCTCAGGGGGGGTCGCAGGCCTATAGCCCAGACTGTTACGGCGTAGGTAAAGCCAACATGTAGAAGTAGACTAGTGGAGTCCAGCGAAGAGGGGGAGAGGACCGTGTGAGGTGGAGGGAGGGAGCGGGGTAGGGTACGGGGTAAGAGGGACAAGACGAGGAGGAAGGGGAATGAGGAGGAGGAAGAGGAGTCGGACGTACGCTCAAGTGGGTGTAAGCGTACCCCGAAATGGCGTCGTTTTGCGTACGTACGAGAACGTCGGAATGTGGTTGGCGGACTCTCAGCAAATTGCAAGCTCCCCCATGCTCAAAGTACCGCGGTTTCTGTCGAGCATTGTTGGGGTTCTTCGTTCAATTGCGTAGCGGCGTGACGCTACTACTCCGGGCTTTACTGAAAAATGATCGGAGGATGGGGTGTGGATGATTGATGTGGATGATTGTAGGGTGGTTTCTCCAACAACACGTTCTTGGCTGGGGCCACAGTGGATGTTGACGTGCACTATTGAATACACACGATGAAACCAAATAACAAATCAAAATGGAGACAAAGAAAAAAAAATCCCTCCCGGGGGTGGGGGGGAAGGGGTTACCAAGATATGCGGAGTAACGTTCGTCGCGTGCCCTTGGTTGCAAATGTTCATGTTTTGAAATCTAAGTGATTCTCTGCTTGAGTTACTCTAGTCGAGGTACCATGTCATGTTGCCCATAAGGTTGGGCGGCAATTCTTGTGGGACATTGGCCCAAAAAACAAGTGGTCAGCATGCATGCGTCGTCATGTAGCCTGTGTTTAACATTGTGTGGAGACAAGAGATATTTGCAGCAGATTAACTGCAGATGATGCTGGTTTTGAAACCATGTCAAAGATTGCGTAGTTCTTGTTGCGTAAATTTTGCGGGGCGTGAGGAAAAACAAGGGAACGGATGCCTGTTACGTACCTGGTACTATGTATACGCTCTGTAGGATACAGTATCTCGAAAAATGACAGCTACCTATGCAGCCACAACGACTTGAATGCAGGTGGACGACTCGTGTGTTCTCGTCGTGACTGGGTGTTGAACATGACTGTGAAAACTTTTGAGTCTTGGAAGTCCCCAGTCACCAACATCACTTCGGCGTACAAAGTTTCGTGCACACGACGTATTGGAGCCATCTGTTGTCACAATGACGCAAAGCTGGTTAATAAGTCGCATTCCCCCCCATCCCGTGGCTGGCTGTGGTCGGAAGGGTGGGATATACAAACAACTACACTTAGTCACATCAGGAGTTTGAAGTTCCTCTTGGTCGTACGTCGTAGGTTTCAAAGTATTAGGTGGCCAGGAGAAATGGATGAACTCATTCTGTTGTACCGTGTCTTGAGATGGTAAACTATTTAGACGCGCATTTCTACAAAGCCAGGACGGAGAGTCTTTGGAAATTCGTCGACCAGGCAGGGGCCATATCAAGCGCACGCGGCGGGACGTTAACCCGAGTGGGCCGACGGGGTGGTTCGGGTGGTTATAAGACCGTTGCTCGTTGTCTCCTGTCACCGGGAGTGGCGATTCATTCTTTGTCTTTTTGATGGCCGTGGACAACCTTTGTGTTATTGTTGCGAACCCTTCCATGACATTCGAGTGATGATGTGTCAAAACGTCTGTTTAGAGTATATACAAGCGACGTTGAACGGTCTGGGGTCTGGGATCAGGTTTTTGTTTGTTTTGCCATGTCCTAGGTTCTTACGGGTGGGGTGTGTCAATGGTGTGCGAGCAGGACTACATGTAGGAAGACGTACATGAAGAGGTGTGCACATAGGCGCTTTGAAAGGAGGTCGTTGTGTTGTGGGCTTGCTTGTTTCAAGAGTTCAGGATAAAAAACAAGCATGAATGAATAAATTGGTGACCTTTCACCAGTGACTTTTTTCTCGGTTCGCCGTATCTCATGACCAAACGTGAAATGTTTGGTTCGTAAACTGCACCATGCCCAGAAATTCGATGTTGTCGGAATTCTCCGCCTACTTGATGAACACCGTCCATCACAAGCTCCTGAGATTTCATGGCCAGGTCAAGGATTGTCTTGAGCTACAGTAAGTACTGTAGTCTTGAACTGTTTGGGGTACTTGGATACGAGATTCGATCTGGAAAATGTGCGTGTGCAAGGGGGTATGCTGTTGGGGGTTCCAGTGCGGGACCCTTCGAGAGAGAGCACCCACGTACATGTGCTTGTCTTTTCTCTATGTGGAAAAAGCACCGTTATGTGTTCATCAAGAAAATGTATTTCATCAACATCGGTCCTGGGCTTACTCCCATACGCAACACAACTACGCGTGAAGGCGCCGAGAACGAACAAGACTAAACGAAGGATATTTTGACAACGCCTTGGTCACGGAGAGTCCAATTGATGACTCACCGCAGGTATACGAGCAGGTTCAACCGTTCGTGGTATGGTTTTCCCATCACCTCCGTTCAACACTTGGTGGGAACTGCTTCCGTATCTATCTGCACAGTGACAAAACTAACTTTTGCCATACTGTAATTTGGTGTTCTGAAGGCAACGTCAACCCACACTACCCACACGATTTCTTCACTTGCCCGTCATGGCCAGCGGATAGGGAGTCCCTCGGCAAACAAACGTTGTCCAGACATGCTGTGAGAAACAAATTAACCCGTCATCGCGAACACCCCGCTTGTGGTTGGTGGCGTAAACCAAAAATAAATGTATAATACGACAGAATACGAAACCCGAAAGTGAAGGTACAACAATAGTTGCCATCTAAGGTATTATAGTGAGCCATCCGATACCAGGAGGATTATACAGCACAACTTCACATACACGGAGGTAACGGAGACTGAACGGTACATACAAGACACCGTATTGCAACAACACAACAAACACACATGCGGTAAACCACGACGTGCGACAATCGGTAGCTTAACATAGTTTGCCCTCCTCGGCCCGGCGAGGTGAGCCCATTTCCAAAACCCTGCTGTCCACTCGCTCTGCTGTACTTGCTTAAAAGACGCACCTGTTTCGCGAAGGACTTGCCGACCGGTTCACGGGTCAGGAGCTTGGAAAACACATTGTTAGGGTTGAACGACACCTAGGCAACGGCGGTCAGTGTCTTGCATGGTTGTACCCAGCGAAAGTTGCATGAAATCGTTTCTCCGGTAAAGCCGAATCCTGTTAACCCGACAGCCGATTTTGAAAAAACTCCAGTTTTTTTTTCGAACGGCTCGCGTCCACAAGGCCCATGAAAAATCTTCCAGTCTCTCGCAGCTTTCGGCACGCACTATGGCGAACCCGACCCCGATATGCTGCTGAGTAGGGGTTGCTCCGCTATGGTGTTGGTATGGTGGCCACGGGAAGGGAGGCAGTAAGGTGTCGCTTTGTCGAACAGAATGATATTATATTATCCCCTATCATTAGTTGTATGCGCGCCATCTACGCATACCCAACATGATGCTGTAGACGCTAATAACCCTAATCCACACCTCCCTAACCCTACACAAACGCGTCCTTGCACTACAACAGACGAGCGGGTGGATATTTACTTGCTCCCATGTTTCCAAGCTCCCGTTTCCTTTTCTCGCTCGAAGACAGTCGGCCGTGCCGCAAATTCAGGCAGAGTGACACCAACGGCGTAAATCCTTCCCTCCAAGCGCCAGGCAGCTCTCACAGAGGTAGGTTCACAGTTCACAGGTCAGCGTCCAGCTACCGCTAACTTGCAGCATCGAACATACATGCCGGAGGCACTTTGTTTGCATCTATTCCTGGCGCTTTGACCCACATCCACTAACTAGTCTACATACATACATCCGAGGTTTCGGCAAATAATGCGCACGACTCCATTGTCCTTCATGGTCACCAGCGTTCCAAAGCGAGAACCTACGCGCGAATACTCATCGAATGTGTACACCTGAGGCAGCTACTTCGTTGCTATGCACACAATCAATAGGAGCAAAGGCGATGCTGGCTTCACCAACCATGTCTCACCGTCAAAATTGCGTGTCTTCCTTGCCAGACCCAGCAAGCACTACTGCTGTTAAACCACCTATCAACCCGTCCACAAAGCACGGTAGAAACCCTCCGCCCCATCCCTGATCATGGCACATGGCACATGGGCACCCTATCCCGTTGGCACTCAACTCTTTCGCCATTACTTCTCGGTCAAGCGGGGCGTCGGGACCAGCGGGACTGTTGATTTTCGGCCAATCACGCCTCGGCACTACAGGCGTTCAGGCGTTCAGGTGTTTGACGTCCAAGTCTCAGGTCTCAGGTCTCAAGTCATTCCCATCCATATTGCCCTTTCTCTTTTTCCCTGCTGCCGACCTTTTGCTTGTTGGTGGGGGGGACAGAACAACTTTGCCGCCCGTGCTACCGTTGTCTCACGGCCAACAAACAGCAACATGCTCTTCGCCAAAGGTATGGAGATTGGAGATGTTCCCAGCAGGATGCACCGACTCCCATGACAACCCCCGTGAGACTTGCTGACTGCTGCCTAACCTATGACGGTGCCTTAGAAACGATACATGTGCAGCTACCACTCGCTGTCCCGTCTCATCTCCTCATATGATAGCGAAGCCCATGGGGGACATCCGCGAACTTGTTGGCACTCACCGCTTTTGAAGTTCGGAAGATAACGCCCGACTTCTGAGTTGGTTGTGACAACAACCACGGTGCTGTTCGGGAGTATGTACAAAATGCCGAGACAGAGAGCGTGAGAGACATGCCAGATACATTCGCAGACAGTCCTCCAAACCTACCTCTGGTTACAGTGTACTGTCCCTCCTTTTGGTCTTCGTTGAACAATACAGCCACGATTGCTCGTGCCGTGGAAGCTGCTCTTCCGGATGGCATGACCGCCACTGACGAGATGGTGGAAGCGATCAACAAGAGTTGTGCAGGTGAAGCGTCCCTGTGCATGCCGACATGACGCTAGAACACAACAACAGCACACCCTGTCGCATGGAATGTGACGTGTCTGTGCCATTGTTGGCGTAAGACGTTGTCGTATGGCCGTACACTATGTGACAATCGTAACTCGTTCGCCCTTTGGTTGTTGCGCGATGTTCCATGTCTCTGACATTCGCTTTGACCTTGATAGGGAGCCGATCGCACAGAGATGTCGTTCTCGTGCTCAAAGATGAGTTGCCAGCATGGTAAGAGCTTGGAAATCCTTCACCATACTGCCATGCACGTGCGGTATCATGCATGAGCATGGAGGTCGGATGTTGATACTCATTTTCTCTTATCCTGCCATGACAGCAGCTGCTACCGCCGCCGCTACTACTGCTGCCCTCCTATTGGTGGTTCAAGCCCAACCACACCATCGTTTTGTCCGTGTCTGTGTCTTGAGCAGAGTTTGTGAATCTGCTCTCCACCGAGGCGTCGGCCAAGGCGAAATGTTCAGGGAAAAACCCGGTCATGTCGAACGAAGACGTCGTGGAGGCCATCAAGGTGTGCTATCCGCTTGTGGACACAGAGGCACGCTCGGTCGTCGACCCCGGCCGCGCCATTGAAATAGCCCCTATGTACCATCAACGCGCGATGGCGAGGAATGTTTTGCCGTTGATTGGTGTCCTCTCACCCCACAAAACACGCTAAAATATCGTTTACGCAACCGAGTGTTTCCACAATTGGTATGAGCAACAAACTACACTTGATTCTCTTCTGAGTGCTCGTTCTAGTCTGCCGCGACGGTGTACCTGGCGCCGTCGCTGCCCCCTGCTATACTTAACCCACAACTGCCGCGCCTGCCTGAACTCTGACAGAGGCTTGGGCTGGAGGCCTACCTTACGGGCGCGGAGGAAGGGGCGGCAGCGGACACGGAAAAGGAGCAAGCGAGAAGAAAGGTGACGACGTGGGTCAACATATCCTTGTTCTCGAATAAAAAGACACGTACCGCCGGTACGATCAACATAGGATCAACAACGTGCTTGCATTGCACAGCAGTGCTAGGTGATAGGGTCGACCATCAGCTCTTCGTCAGCTCAAGCCTTGAGTCGGTGGGCAGCTGTTTGCCCATCGTGTAGGATGCGACTTGTTCCGATGTGCTCTGTCCGTGTTACGGCTTGCAACGCCCAAGGTGTAGTCCAATTCCACCGGTGGTGTGCCTCTATCGTGATCGATCGGACGTCTGTCATCGTCACACTCGAGGTCCAAGCCCCTGCGTTGGTTGCGAGATTGGCAACTCCAAAGGGAACATATTTTCCGGTCTGTAGGGGACGCCGGGGTCTTCCTTTGTGCGCGGGCGGATGCCTTCGAGAGCAACCGCTGTGGACGCAGTTTTTTTTTACACATGTATGAATTTGTGTTGCTGGCATTCGTGTGCTTCTCGCACAGTCTTGCTGCTCCTGCTGCGATTGTTGACATGCACAGGACAACCCGTTTTGCCGCTGTTGCACCGTGTCCTGTCGGGAATTTGTTTGATGTTCTCGGCTCCGATCGTAGCCACCCCCGGACCCACCCCCCTCCCCCGTGCGCGCATGTCAGAGGAAGAGAAAGCCAAAACAATCCAAAGAGGAGGAAGAGGCCGCGGCGAACAGGCAGCGCGAGCTGCTGGAAGCCACGGCGAAGAGCTTCTACGAAGACCAAGGGCTGGCGTAAGCACTACTTCTGTGGCCCTCATCACCTTGCGGCTGCTCTCCGACTTCCCCTCGAATTGGGTTGGGAACAATAACAGGAGAGTCACGACGATTCCCCCAGACGGAGAAGGTGTTTTCTTGCTTGAGCGTGCCGAGTTGCGTTCTCCAGTAGAAGGGGGTGAGAACACTTGAGCCCAGGTCATTCAGGCGAGAGAATCTCCATCAACGACGGTAAGGGTGTCGACCGGAAGCACCAGTTCAACCGCTCCCTCTCTAATGAGAAGAGCGTCGCCTGACCCATTTCGCGTACCCCACGCGGGCGGTATGCACTCTTGGACGGGGGTAGGTGGTTGGAACTGGAATAGTAGTGGCTTGGGTGCTGGTGGTCGTGCTGGGGGTTAACCGCTGATTTGGCGTCCATGGTACGCCTCTGGTGGGGGCGAGGGCGGGGTTCGGAAATATCACTTCAGTTACCCCTGCGGGGGCAAGAGCTTCAGGAAAAGCTGCTATCTGTAGCACGTTCGTAGACGAGCGTTGACGTGGCGAATGTGTTCAATTGCTGCTGAGAAACCGACCCCAGGTATGGTAGAAGCTCCTTGACCCTTTAGCTCTTGCCTTGTTTGTTGGGCGGAGGATTCGAATGTCTCCTCCGGGGAACGCCCAAGGGAAGGCTTCAGAACCGTGTGGAGGACCTATACTGTAGCTTGCACTGGCGACCTAGACGAAGTTGACGCCTGTGTGTTGCTTCATTGGTTCTAAGCCCTAAACGGTGCTACCGCTGCAACTGCTGTGTAGGCGGGACTCGATTTTCTTACCTGAAGTACCGTAAGGTAGTTCTACGCTTGCCGACCCCATGGGTGGCGTGTTGGAGTCGGCCTAGGAAGCAACAGGAGAACGCGGAAGGAAATATGTGCGCATCACATGGATGTCGCAAGTTGTTTCCGCCCCGTGACTGGATTGTGCCTTAGACTCCAAGCTGAAGAGCACCAACATAGCCAAGGACGGAAGCTCCATGGAAAACAGGTACTCCGCCGCAGTGTCTTGAGTGATTTGCCTCAAACAGTTTAGTTTCCCATTTGTTTTTGGTTTTCTTGAGGAGGCCGAAATGCAATGTATCGGGGTGATCCAAGATACTACGGCTGCTGCTGTTGTTGTTGTATCCATTTTGGGTGAAGGGGGTGCGGGGGGATCTCTGATAGAGAGACACTAACGCTGCTTCTGCGGAACCCAGCTACTCAGCTGGTACGCACACGATATACATTATGAGCTTTGTCTTTCTCTCTTATGCTAGCTCGTTCAAGTATCGAGGAAGAATTTATGGGGGGGGTGGCAGCCTCGTACACAACAGGATTTGGTTGGAATCACAGAAACAAGTTGGAGTCGCGATATATGCCCAGCAAGTGAATCTGCCAAAGGCCAGTAGGAGGCGGGCGAAGGGTTTTAAGAATCGACTGCAATTCTAGTGTATTTTGTGGACACAGAAGTAGAGGTTTTACACACCAAACTGAAGTACGAGCGGAGGAGGGGGGGGAAGACGCTCTGGATTATGACTTCGTTACTCCCGAAGTTGTGGCGAATCATCTAGTCTGTAGACCGTACCCGACGTGCGGGGGCGCGCGATCGTTCGTTGTTGTTGATATCGAAGTTAATGTTTTTGGTTCCAACGTTTGACGCAACATGGTGAAGAAGTCGTCTTATGTACTAGAGGAAGATGGGCTTGCTAGTGAACAATCGGTAACGAGAACCAGGGAGGAGAGGCATACAATAGAACAAGAACAAGTTTCTTCAGCTGTTTGCAGACATCACGAAACGGGGACCCATTTCGGTGCTGTGTGCTCGTGTCGTATGCTGTTGCATCGTGGCATATACATGGTTTTAAATTTCCTCCACTCACTGGAAAGACTCCAACACATCCCGTTCGACTGTGGGTATATCGCGAACGGGTACAGTAGTCTTTCCGTGTGTGTATATATTTTTCCTAAGATGGGGTTTTGGAGAGAGTTGTCCCAGTCATTGTCGTCGACCGGTACACAGAATCACCTTGCGACTACCGCAAAGGACGAGAGAGGTTGATTGAATAATCACACCACGTCGCCAGGAATTTCCACAAGCAAAAAAAAATCGGACGATACCCTCCTAGCACTTAATCCACATAATAAATCCTTCAAACAAACGTGTATGTACCTACCTGGTACAATCCAGATTGTCAAGGGCAGCAGCTTCAGTGTGGTTTCATGTTCAATCCTCAAGCGCCAGCGATTAACGTCTCCTTCGCTTGCTCGCTCGGCCTGCTCATGTATTATGACGCAACATACATATGGTACATGCAACCCTGTCCTGAAGCCTTACCCTGCCCGCTTCATGGAAGAAACCGTACCCAGTTCACTGCTAATTTCCGTGTGCCAGTTACTCTGCGTTACAACATGCAAGGCGAACACGACACCGTATTCTGCTGTGTGTTGCTTTGTACCAGGTGGTAGTGTGGTCTACAATGCGTGCTACGCATAACCCCGGCACTACAAAAAAAAAAAAAAACTCTGTAAATCAATCGCGATTGATTATCGGCGTATTTTATCCGCATCACACACACTACACGCAGAAGACTGAAAAGCCATTCCCCGGACATGAGGCTCGCATCTTCGCTTCATACATACAACTACCGTCTGTGATGCAGAAAAGTTGTGCATGTTTTGTAAATTCATCCACGTATGTGTCCCAAGATACCTACAATAATACCCTCCGAAACCCAGCGAGTTCACGACGACTAAAAACAATACCCCGACGGTTTCGGCGAACGAACGTGCCGCTGCCAAAAAAAACACGAACTCCCCCCCCACGGGTCTCGATGATTTTGCGTTGCCTCCCGGCGTATTGTGGAACCAGCGCAGGCAGCGTTACTGCTGTTGCTGTGAGGACCAAACGAGATAGACCACTTCCAGCGTCAGTTCACAAGCTCACGTCCGTCTCTTCCCTCTGCCTCAACTCTGGTTTCCCCCCTGCCAGCCCGCCGCTCGGTCGAAAGCGAGGAGGACAAGAGACTTTTCGTTTGTTGTGCACGTGTCAGCGGCGGGGCATGCATGGGCGGTCCTGATAACATCGACAGGAGCAGCATCAGCAGCAGCGGAGGGATGTCTAACCACGACATGCCTCTACCCTCCTCTGGGCCGAACGGGGACATTCACAAGCGAGTCACGCGGGCGTCTGCTGCTTCCGCCGCCGCTGGGGTGAGTCCGCGTGTTTTGGACGCAGACAAGAGCGGGAGCAAGTTGAGGATAGATTTGTAGGAGGAGCTGGGCGAATCTAGAGGTCCGGAGGTCGGAGGCGCTGCTGTACTATTATAGGAGAGCCGAGAAAGGCCCTTGGTTCTGTCGGCGGAGTGCGTGAGAGTGAGAGACAGTGTATGCTGCCTCTGGACACGTCGTGACAGCGTTGGACCTTCGCAAAACCTCAGGGAGGGACTCCAAGCTGCGCCCAAAAAGCCTGACTTTCCCAACTACTGCTGTACACGAAGAGCACCAACTACACTTGCTGTTTTGTGTTTTGTCTTCATACGGCATGGTTGTTGACGCGGCACGTTACGTACTGATCATGTTACGACACACAGCACCGCTTTTGTGTTCCGCCCCGCATCGCTGCTGCTCCTGAAACCGCTGCTCCCTGGGCGCGGTATCGATGCCCGTGCACGCCAGTCTCAAGCCAACAACGGGAGCAGCTCGGCGACAGGGAAAGCCCCGTCCTCCTCCGCCTACTCCGCCGCGGACACAAACGGAAACTCGTGCTCGCAGGACGCACAAAGACGACAAAAACCACCAACGTTGTCGGCGTCGACCTCGTCGTCGTCGTCGGCGTCGTCGTCGTCTCCAAAACCCGCCCACCACCACCACCCCAACTCCAAGTGGACATGGGCCGGCTACCTCCTCCTCCTTGCGGTGACCAAGTACACCCTGCCGGACGAGCTGCACACCTCCGCCCCGAGCCTGAAGCACGTCTGGTTCTACGGCTGGGTGACCGCCCTCAGCACGGGGGTCGGCGCCGCGCCGCTGATCCTCACCCACGACCTCGGCAAGGCCATGCTGGCGTACGGCAACGCGATCGCGGCCGGCATGATGCTGAGCGCGAGTTTCAGCCTGGTGTCGGAGGGGGCGACGGTGGTTGAGCCGGACGGGTTCACGGCCGAGTGGTCGGCGGTGTTCGCCGCGTTCCTGGGGGCCCCGTGGGCGAGGGTGGTGCTGGGGGTGGTGGCGGGGCTTGTCTTCATCCTCTCCACCAAGAAGGTATGCAATGCAGTGCATGGGGTCTTCCTTCCTTTCAGGCGGTGCTATGCGTACAAAAGGGCCGCGCTCTACCACTACTGCTGTACCATTTTTTCGTGCTCTGTATGCGTGCTGCCGCCGCCGCTGCTGCTGCTGCTGCTGCTGCATGTGGTACGCAGCCGCATGATGCGTATTGATATATGTTGTCCCCCTTTTTTTGGGGGGGGGGGGGGCGTGTTTTTTTGTTTGTGCCTTGGTGGTGAGGGTGCGTACACGGGCTCAATACCATGTATCTTACAGCACGTGCTTGAAATGCAATGCCGGTTCTTGAGATGGGGAACACAAGTTGCCGTTGAGATCAGAAGGCCCGAGAGAGTCGCCGTACTTTTTCCGTCGCCGGCTCACATGGCTTGATGAAGTCTCGAAGTGGTCGATGCATTCACGCTCGAGAGTCTGCCGTCCGTTCCCAAGGGTAGAACCTGATGGTTTCCGCATACTTGCTTAAAACTTCAAGCATTCGGACGACAGCTACCGGTATGCGGTTGGCGTACGTCCTTTCAAGGCATGTTGTCGACATGATAACAGAGCAACAGCGGTATCGTTTGCTTGCTCGTGTCGGACACCCGCAGCGCCGCGGAGTGTTTTCTGTCGCGTGCATGTAGCAGGGTAGACAGCATCGCTGCTGCAGCACCAGCATCATGTGCGAAGGTTTTTTCGACGCCGTTCCTGTGTTTGACGAGCGACACCCTCGTGTTCACAAGTATGCATAATCGCGGACGGTTGTGATGTGGGATTGCAGACGTTTGGGTGGGCCAAGTCGAAGCCTGCTTCGTTTCCTAGCAAGTCGAGTAAATAGGACGAACATCCAACGGAAAAATGTTATCCGTGCTGTTCTGGCGGCGGGCAAGGTAGTAGTGGGATGCAGCAAAGTGGCTGCTGTAGCTGATGGCAAAGCACAAGACGGTAGAGGTGCGTGAGGTGCATCGATCTATCAAGCGCCCCTTTTCTTCCGGCCTCCCTCAGTATCCCACCCCAACCCACCCCACCTCAACGCGGGCGCTTTCCCCTGCGGCGAAACGCAAACGCAGTATTTCTACGGTATTTCGTTGATGCAGTAGGACCCAACGTGGTCAGGTTTGTCTTCGCTGTTTCGACGCTCGTTATTTCGGACGGGACCACCCATTGGAAGACCTCTGAACACGTCTTGTCGTGGCCACATGAGAGCCAAGGTTGCAAATCTTCCCCGTGTGTACGCCGCCACTGGTGTTGTGAATCTCCGCACACCTGTCGACCAACAAAAGGCCAGGGCTTTTCAGCTTGTCTTTGTTTGCGCGGTGCTCTGATTGCCACTTCTGTCTGTGCGTTGGCATGGTCACGGTTTTGTCGTGCGGTCCGGGCCGACGTCGGAGAGCAGGTTTTGGATAACTACGAGGACATTAAGCTGGGCGAGCTGCACGGAATGGACGCGAAAAAGGTGGGTGGTGCGGGGTCGTGTGGGTTGGGTGCGGTTTGTCGAAGATAAAGAGCATGGGGGATGGACTCGCAGGTCGCGCTGACCCACTCTGTTGCGTACCTTCTTTGTAGACTACGCTTGTGACTGCTGTGTACGTTTGGTTGGCATCGATCGCTCAAGTAACCTGCCGACCAACAGAAAGAACGCCCGTCTTTGTGTCAGCTAGACATAGGACGCAATAACGCCTTCTGGCCGCCGGTTTACAAAGGGTGGGCTGGAAGTACGGACCCAGCCTCTGCTCCAACGTACGATGCACGTTTGATACAGGATTACGTACTTTACAACACATCTCGGCCTATGCGTTTGGTCGATAGTAGTCAAGGCACACCTGCACGCACGCCGACGCGCACACAACACCGTGTTTCCTTTTTCTGTTGTTACCGTGCTGTTGTTTAGCATGCCGAAACAGATTGTCTTGCCCGCTTTTCCTTGATGGAAGTATAAACTCTCACCGCAGTAGGGGGCCAGAGATGAGAAACGTCCGTTTCAAGTCGCGGTTCAATTTCTTAATCCATCATCGACAGGTTTTTGTAAAGATTGTTGCAGGTCCTCGGCTGGAAGCCTTGTTTCTTGCTTCAAATTCTCCTTGTTTTTCGTCACCGTTTGAGCCTTTTTTTCTTGGCGGCATTTTTTAAAACTGCGGGCCCGCGCTCCTGTAGCATACCACGATGCTTTACCTGGTCGTGGAGGCGATGCCCGCCGTCCGTATGCAGACTCGGAAGGTGTGGGTGTACTGTAGGCCTTCGAACCTACGTCCGGGCGGATGTACGCGTGTTGTAATATACACATGTGCACAGCAGCGGCCGCTTTTCGCACTACCGCCACATGACGATGCGCGGCATACCAAGCATGAACACCCTCTCCCTCTCCCCCCCCCACGCATGCGTGGCCTCACGGAAAATATTACAACAATGTAGTGAAACTGCACCGTCCACTCCCCCCGTCCTTTTTTCTGGCATCGTAAGGCGAAACTGTCTTGTCCACTACCCGTGTCTCTCTCCCCTACCTTACTACTACAGGTGCTCTTGATCGTGTTCGTGATGACGCTGCACTCATTCTCAGAGGGCGTGGGGATCGGGGTCTCGTTCGGGGGCGACGGGGGTGCACGGCTGGGATTCCTGATCTCGGCGACCCTTGCGGTGCACAACGTGCCCGAGGGGCTGGCGGTGGCCCTGGTGCTCCATCCCCGCGGAGTTTCCAAGCTCAACACGGTGCGATGATTGATCTACTGCTGGGATGCTGATAGCTGTTTTTGGAGAAATAGGACGCGGAGGAAAAGGCGGGGGGGGCTGGGGGGGGGGGGGGGGGGG